GCTATTTATGATAAGTCATAAATAAAGCACAAGCACCGAAACTCTACGCTCCATTTACCATATAATCTGGATAACACCCTAATTCATGAACAATGTCATCGATGCAGCATCCGGTACCACAATTGCACGCACAACAATTCGTACAGCAAGTGCTCACGCAGCAACCATTATGCATGCAGTCATCGTCTTTGCATTTGCCAGGAGTAGTACCGAATCCAATTAGCTGTGTTCTTGTGGTTCTAGCACAGCATGGTTCTGTCCCCTTTTCACAGATACAATGATGCTCTTCCGTACTTTTATGTTTTCCACTTCGTGGTGTGGAGAATTCATCGTTTTTGCAATCACATTCTTCATCATCGTCGCTACATACACACTGTATGCATTCACATTCTCCGCTGTCGTCGTCACATATACAGTCGGTCTCTTCATCTGGTTTGCCTTTTTTACTTGCTGCCGTTACAGTACTCTCATCATCATCACATTCCTCACACGTTTCTTCTGTGCAATCAGTGCAGGTTTCTTCGCATTCCGCGCACGTTACTTCCGTGCAGTCAGTGCAGGTTTCTTCTGTGCAATCAGCGCAAGGTGTACTTTTGTCTTTACTGCCTTCATTTGACCTTTTCACGCGAAGTGCTGTCTCGCAACCATTCTTGCCTGCGGACGTCTTGCATAGTATACCGGAAGTTGTATTGTAGCAGCGATTCAGTTCCCATTGCCCATTTTTTCCGTTCAGATTGCTTATCATCTGAAAATTTTCACTATCAACATATTCACTTGGGAGCAAAAGCTTATAAGCCTATCAAGTCGTAAATAATTGCTTTATGGTCTTATCAGCTATTAAGAACTGCGGTAAGAATTTTCGCCCCTGGCCTCTCAGCTTCGAGTTCAGAAAATTTTGCACCTTTTTGTGAGCATTAAATTAAGAAGTCTTCTTTCATGCTATGCTCTTAAATGCATACAACAAAAGATAGCTTCTTGCAAAGATTGTCTCAAAATATGGAAGGCAAATTTGAGAAACGCACAAGAGTCGTCAAAGTCACATACTTTGAATTTTTAAGCGAATAGTTCTTTATGAAGTTTTGGCCCAATGAATCCAATGTAAGAATGTCACATATCTTACTTCTCGCTAACTCCTCTAAATTGACTTAAGTATCAGT